GCCCAGGTGCAGAGCAGAAAAATGCACAAGAATAAGGGTTCAATTAAATATTTCAGAGGATGTAGAGTTGGAAGGAAAAAAAGTTCTTTCAAAGCTGCTAAATTTTCCAAAGTAGTGCATGATTGAAGAAGAATGAGCAGCCACACACTTCACAGAGCTTTTAAGTCCAGGTAAGCATTACCATAACAAACAAAGAATCTATAAGTGTGCCAGAAAGGTACATCTGATCTTCATTTAAACTGTATTATTTTAACATTGTATCACTATCAAGTGAATGTACTCTGGTTTTCAAAAATATGTTAATACATCCCTAAAAATAAATAAAATCACCATCTTTGTAGTCCTTTGAGAAGTTGTTATCATTCTTGCAGGAAGATTCTTCCCTTCTTTTTTTTTTTTTTTTTTTTTTTTTTTCCCTTTTCCAAATACTTGTTAGAATACCTTATTTTTTTAAGAACTGCATTTAAAATTCTAGTAATTTAATCCTCATGTCAGGATGCTAGCCTCTAGGAACTAGTGTAACTCAACTAATAATGCATTCTCTGGCAGGAACAAAAGCAATACATTAGGGAATCATGACAGTACTTCCACTCTGGAAAAAAGGCAGCCACTTCCATCCATAGGACAATGGACAGAAAGTGGACTTCATGCCTTTTATTTGAGTAACAGAATTATGATGTTAGAAAGGCACTCAAAATATCATCCAAAGCACTTCTGCCCTTCAACAGACTATCAAATATATGTGCATAATTCTAAACAAATTTTCTCTCAATACCCAAATCTCCCTAGCCAAAAGTGTTCTGCATTCCTTTGGTGTCCTTACTCCGAGAAAGCTTTTCATAATTTTTCTTTCCTGCAGCTGCACATACTTGATGAAATTACTGTGTCCCAATCAACTTTCTTTTTTCTAGACTAAACAATGATAATAATTCAATTCTTTGCTCAGAGATTACTTTTATGCTTTTCATCATTCTTGCTCCTCTTCACTCTTCACAGTTACAAAACATGTTTAATGAAGGGCTGTAGCACCTAAATCTACATGCAGTCCTTAAATGAGACATGGCTGAAGAGATTGCCTGGTGAGGAATATCTCTAATGATCTGAGTTTTGTTTTCCCTTTTCAGTAGTACCATGACTTGACAATTCACATTCCTCTTGTGAGCCATTATAATCTCAAGGTCCTTTCTGCTAGACTACATCCTAGTTGTTTGTCATACTATTTTTAGGTAGCAGAATGTCCTTAACTCATTTAACGTTGTGGTTAACTCTATTAGCTTTGTGCTTATCCCTGTCTTTCTGACCATATCTTTGATACATGAAAGCTTTCTAAAGTGTCACTCCAGTCAATTTGAAGCCTCTTGTAACTAGATGGTGGCTGCCGAGTTAAAATTCCATTATACAGGACCTAAGTGAAAATACAGAGGTAAACAGACCCAGCATAGATGCCCACAAACCCCTTAATGTATTCTTCTATTTTGACACTGAGTATACGTATGAGTATACATATGATCTATATTATAAATATTTATTTTATCTATTCTATTGTGCATGCATATAATATATATATATGAGTATAAATATCTCTATAGATATAAATATATACTCAGAAGTTTCCCTTCTGAGCATAACTTGCCAGATGGCACTGGAAAACAGACCACCCGTTCCACTTACGTAGGATAAGATTTAGATATTTCTGGCTGAAAATGGTAGATGTCTATCAGCTGTAAGCAACAAAAGCACACCATACAGTGAATATTTTAGTCTGTGTTGCCATAAGATTTTTACTGTGTGGACAAATGGGTAAGAATAGAACAAAGCAAAATTCCTGTAGGCCTAATGCAATGCTTTCCACAGAACCATTTGTTTCATAGACTAAGCATACAGAATATTCTGACTGGTTTAACAAAAACAATAATTCTGAGAATAAACTAAATAATATTATTCTATTTGGAACTGCAAGAGAAATGTCAATAGATGTTAAAGAAGTAATAATTTTACAGGCCACTAATTTTTAGTCTTCTTCCTTTTATACAGAAGACCCAGTTAAATAAGAAACAATTCCCCTCTAATTTGAAAAACAGAATATTGCTTCCAATTGCATAGGGCACTTGTTTGTGAGGCACTGATGTAATTCTCATTCAAGGAGAAAAGTATTCAGTAATCATGTTTTAATAAGTAATCCTGCACCACTTATTGGTCTGTCATTTCTCTAAATACAAAACAGGCTGAACTTGGGTTTGTGTAAGATGGTGTGGAATGGGATAAAATTTATGCAGAGGGGAAGAGATTTAATGCTGTGAATACATTGTGTGTATTATTAGATAAAACAGCTTACAAATTTCAAACACAAACTACTACTCCTGATTCTATGACTGTACCTGTATCTTGCTCTGGAAGGCTTTGCTATAGAACATGAGAAGCATTTACAGACATACAAAATTACAGAAGCAGCTAAAAATTACAATATATGATGAACCTCGTAAGATTTGTATGTCTTTCTTAATGTCTGTAGAAAGCCTCTTTAACCAGACTATACAATTCCATACACCATGACACTTCTAGCATTCTTAAGACCAGACAAGTACAAATTTCTGTACTGAAGAAAAGAAAGAGATTGTTGTAAAAACCCTAGTAGGTAGATGGAATTGTTAGAAAAAAGGCAAGGAAAGTTGAGAGCCAAGAAAAATCACAATTGAAGCCAGCAGAACTGATAATTCTACGTTAATCTACAGGAGCTTTCTGTTACTATCTACTAATTACCCCTCCTGTGACTAAATAAAGTGCCTCTCTGCTACTGTATTGCTTGCAGCCCACAATGATTGATCCACTGGAGCCAGCCTGCAGACATCTGGGCTTTCAGGGAGACAAAGAAAAACATAAGACCATCCAAAAGGACTGTTTGCTAAAATATTCAGCTGCTACTATGACTAATTTCACAGAGAAATGTATAAAGACATGATATATGAAAAATAAAATGCTTCTATACTCAAAATTTCTTTTGAATTCTGAAAGTTGATTTATTTTTAATTTTTCAATTGAACACTTGACAGAAATTTTAATAGTGTTGTCCATGAGGTTTTGAAGTTTTCACAGAAAGCCCTACAAATTCCTATGGTTTTTAACACTACGATCATGCTCCCATGAATTTATCACATTCAAGTCACTCTAATAGACATAACTTGTAATTAATCTTTTTAGGGGATTTATTTTTTATTTTCACATGCCACTTTCAAGGAACTTTCTCCATTTCATTAATTACAGTAAACATAACCCTGGTCTTAAAAGAATAAGTTTACATTTAACAACAAATCAGAATAATTCAAATAGTGATATAAATAAAGAATATATCTTTGTAAGAAAATATATTGGTTTCTCCCAAGAAATAGTACCGATTGCTATCTGATTATTTCCTATATTGGATCGAGTAACTATTATCCAATTTGATTTTGGATAAAGTTAAGAGAGATCATACTAAAATTGTGCTCCTGTAGTAAATAAGTTAGTTTATGAAGTAGCAAGGAAAAAGAATAATGGAATTCCATCTTTCAGAATACAGGCCTAATTCCCTATCTGGTTTGCTGTCACACATCTGGGGAAACAGATATATTCACTTAATTGCTGAGACTTTGAAATACCAAGGTAACTATTTGTGCAAATTGTTCCTCCATTAAAGTTACATTGGTTACATTCTTCTTCAAAGCTCATTAGAAACCTGCATTTCCTATTAAATAATTATTTCTGAAAGAGGTAAATTAATGAAATGCAAAACAAATTTTAGAAAGAGGGCATCAGAAATGTGAACTAATGGATTTACAGATACAGCTGTGTACTACATGCCGTATGCCCTTAAAGCATTTGTCAAATAAATTATGTCAATTTTTTCCCAGAGGTCTTCATGCCCAACTTCAATCTAACATTTGAAGGACTATAACAACAATTTTTTCAGGGTATATTTACAAAGGCCAGCATGCCCCCATCCTGGCCACATTTTTCATTTTTCACTCTTTGTGTAACGTGAGTTTGAATTTTATAAATTCTATAGCCTCATTAACTACTTCTCATTAACTACCGTGCTAAGACATAAGACTGGAAGTTTATGATCAAAGATGCTTTGAAAGACCTGATTGCACTGATATGTGCATCTATATTTATATATGTGTTATAAAATTGAAAAAGGTAGATAACCAAGATCACATACCAAGTGCCCTCTTGTGGTTCCAAGCAGGTAAACTCAAATAAATTTACCTTATATATATATTTATTTAATTTATTTATTTAAATGGGTTTCTATTACATAACCACATCGTTTTAGGAACAGCAGTGATTATTATTCAGCCTACAATTTTTCCTGCAGAAAATACTACTAATGCCACTTCTTTGTCCCATCTGTAATTGACAAGTATAAGTTCCCTCTGCAACGTATCATGTCTGAGGGAGGCGATTATCTGTGCTGCAGGAATGACATTGCTACTGCATAAACTTTAAGCAATTAAAATCATGATTGCCCTGCCTCTTCCAGACACAGCTTTTTAGCTAAACCAGAAAAAAAGTCTTTTGACATTCCTTATCCAAAATGCCTACTGGTTTCTTGTTTTGTAGTTTATTTTCCAATATAATTCATCGCGATGGAAGAGAGGTTCCCCAGAGTAACTTGATGACGGCCTTTAATAATAAATCATTTGAAGGGCAGACATGGCCTGAAGTATAGGCATTTCTAGATAAGTATTAGAACTTTCATTCAGTTCTCCTGTACAACATCTTTCCTACCTCTCTGGGATGTGGAACTTAAATTTTCCAAGGCAAGAAATATTCCAAGGTAAATAATAACCCTGCATTCTGAAGCAAAAGTTGAAGCAGAAATTCAACAGTTTTGCTTTAAAATGAGATTTACAAATCCATCGATCATCTGTTTGTTCAACAATAAATAAAAAGGAAGTTTTCTTAAAATGTAAAACTAAGCAGTGACACAGAAAAAGCAAATTCAAAGAAACAATAAATACCTTTTTCGCCTTGTTTTTTTTTTCGTAAGTCTCTGATAATGGTTTTCTTTTTTCCTGAGTGGTGTCTTTAGAAAATAAATATTCAAACTCAGTAGTATCAAGTATATCAGGTTCTTCTAGTGATTCCCATAATGTTGGCACAGCAGTTTTCCTATAAAAGGATAGGTAATGAAAAAAAATCTCCAGTTAACATTTATGAAAAGCCATACTAGATCTAACCATAACAGATGAAAATCCATAAGAGATTGAAAACTCAAAGCAACACGCACCACTGCTATACAAATAGCATTCCTTCCATAGAAGTTGTTCTTGTAAGGAACCAAAATGTTTTGCAGAGGGCTGTACCAAAAAGTTTAGCTATTTAGCATCCATGCCTGCTAGATTATCAAAATACATTATTGGTATTGTACAGTTTTTTGTTCAACAACCAAATATTAGAACTGCAGCTTGCACAAATGTATCTCAAGAGATTTCTGCCACTTCAACTAGGATTAGGAGTATTTCAACAGCAGCTTTTTATAGAAATTCCCAGTAATCTATTTAGACCTATAACAATAAACAATATCAACTAGAGTAATTATGTGGCCTATACTTTGGGAGACTAACTAGTATTATGCTCCATTCAACCAACAGTACATTTTACATATGGATTCTCTTTCCTTCTTTTTTTGTGCCTTCCAAAACCAGATTTAGTTTTGGAACACTTTGGAACTTGTCTACACAATCCTCTAGTTTTATTTGGGGAAAATACTACGTAATACTATGTAATGCTGCAAACACAGCACTTCGATGCCAAATGAGCTTCTATTCAACATTTCAATGCATCAGAAAATTGTGCGCGATAAACTTCTGATTACACTTCCTGTCTGTTTATCAGCAGAAGGTGGCCCACTTCTTCCAGCAGATGTCACTAAAAGACAGTGAACTTCTTTGCAGTAAAAATAAAAGAAGTGATGATAACCCCTATAAAGCACAAGTGGCTGATGTCACTAAACACACTTTTATTAAATGTAATGAGCAACAAAATGCAATACCTACCAATTAAAGGGGTACCAAAATTAATTTCTTTTTTTCAAATTCAGGATTTTTTTCTACTTAATACTGAACTGTACGTGTGCTACTGCAGATGTTTAAGGAATTCTAAATTTCCCATTAGAATCAGCTGATGCATTATATTCTGTGTCACAGGACACGCTCCCTGGTATTAGCCCTAGTGGCAGCCACACTGAAAAATGAAGGATTCTTTCTGGCTCTCTAGCAAGAACTTTGAAGCTCTGGGTAGCTGTTGAACTGAGCAGCAGACCCTTGAAGAAGTTTCCAGTTCCAGTGCAGCCCAAGAAACTGATGAATCATTATATTTGGTGACCATCAGTTCACTAGAAAGCTATACCTTGGACCTTACCATGCATTCAGCAAAAGCTTGAAGAAACACCAGTATTTCAGAACAAACATTTTTATTTCAGTGAATCAACAGGAAGAACTACAATAAGTTCTTTTTCATGGACCAATTATTTATTTACTATGAAACAATTTTTCACCAGTAGTTTTGGGAAAGTAAAGGAAAACCAAAATGCTCTAACTTCCTGCTCCAAATTTTTCAATGTTTTTCATTCTCAATCACTGAAAGACTACAACTGATATGTCATTAATTATTTGTTCCTGTCAAATGTACTACATGAAATTTTAACAACTTACAATGCTTTACTATAACAGAATAATTATTCTTTTTCATAAAAATACATTCAGGCAAAAAGCAGTAAACTAAAATGCATCTTTAAATACATTTAAATACAGATATTTACTTCAACAGTGTTGAAATATAATCCTAACAATAACATACAAAAATATTAAGAATATCATAAATAATTTTAAATACTTAAATAAATAATTTAGAGTGACTTATTATTATAAATCACCTGTAAGTCCTCATATATTATAATATACAATAACAGTATATTATACAGTATGTAATATAGTGTATGTACATAGTAGATCATATATAATAACCTCTACTATATTTAATTTATTAGAATGTTTAAAACAATGTTAGCATCTCTGCAACTGCACTTATGCTTAAATATTTTTGGACAGATAATAATTATTTCAATTTTAAGGCCTGAAAAATTATATCATGATTGAATTGTATTTCCTGACCTTTGCAGCTTCTTGTTAAACTAGAAATATTTTATGTCGCTTATGCTTCCCTAAAAAGTACCCTTCATCTCCCTTGACCTGCCGGCCATGCTTCTCCTAGTGCACCCCAGGATACAGTTGGCTTTCTTTGCTTCAGGCTCAATTTGTTGTCTCATCTCCAAATTTTCATCTGCCAGTATCACCAAGTTCTTCTCTGCAGGGCTGTGCTCAATTGCTTTATCCCCCAACCTGTAATGATATGAGGGATTCTCTTGGCCTCATTAAACTTCATGAAGTTTGTACAGGCCCACTCTTCAAGCCTGTCAAGGTCCCTCTGGATGGCATCCCTTCCCGCAAGTGGATCTAGTGTTTTATCCCAGCATTAAATCATAGTAAGGTTGGGAGGCTTTTTATTTTTTATATTTATGTTTTCAAACTATAGAGATCTCTATCTGTACTGAGACTCCTCCGTAATGGCTGCTTCATGCTACAGGCTCCTGAGCTGCTTATACTTATATGTATGCTTTACTTTTCCTGCTCTGAATTATGCACAGAGGTTACGTTCCAGTTTAACTGTTTCTAGAGCTGGAATTACAGAAGATAAAACAAAATAAGGCTCTGAAGATGGTATCATTTGAAGTGACTGGAAAGCAAAAATGAAACTCAAAGTTCTCACCTCACCCAACTTTAACATTTCAATTCTAATTGAGATTTAAGAAAATAAGATGTTTCTAATCTCTTGGCTACCTTTTTCTCAATAGTGCTAAGTATAGGAACCACCCTGTCACTAGAGCTGTCCATGGAGTACCTGGATTTTTGGAAACAAAACAACAAAATATCTTTTTGTTATAATGCACATAATTTAAATTTATAATGCGTATATTATGAACTATTTTTAGACTTCTGGAACTGGCTCAGTTTTTTCTTAAGACATGTAAATTCCATGCCTCTCCACTAGTTTTGTTACACCTTCCTAGACTGTGGTTTTTTTTTTATTGTCTTAAAAAATAAGTACACATACCCTTGTATCACAACTTATAAATAGCAACTCCAAGTTCAAATAAATGTATTTTACCTGCTGCCTTGTAATTGTATCCGTGTCCAATACAAAGGCTTCATGGGACGGCTAGGTTCAATGGCAGGTTTTCGAGGACCTTGGTTTGAAGATAAAGTGCTATTAAAAAATAACCCAGGCCCAGGAGGTGGAGGGGGTGGAGGTAACCCAGATCCAGGCAATGGAGGAGGCACAGGAGGTCCCAACCCTGGAAGAGGTGGTGGTGGTGGTGGTGGTGCTTGAAAATTCCTACAGCCTTCAGAAAGTGGAGGTGGCAGTGGTGCACCAGATCCAAACTGAGATGTCTGTGAAGTTGGACCCATTGGCAAAGGTGGTGGTGGAGGAACTAAACCTAGTAGTGAAGAATCAGGAAGGGGAGGAGGTGGTGGTGGTGGTGGTGGAGGAGGAGGCGGCAGCATTTGTTTTGGTTGACAAAATAAGATATTTTCTGAAGACTGTACATTATAATTGTCCTTATTTTCACTTTGGACAGAAATACTATGTGACAAAGAAGAAATATTAAGCTTTTTGGGTACTATTTGGTTATTTTTCACAGCTCTGTTTTCTTCTTCACTAGGCTTTATGAAAGTTTCTCTGTCAGTCTGTATACATACATTTCGGTATGTCTTTGGTGGGTTATCATCTTCAGTAGAAACACCAATATCCTTTGCTTTTTCATTTCTTCTATTTAATTTATTATCAAGTTCATTCTTCAAATGTGCAATGATATCCTCAAGCTGAGCTGTTGATACAGCGTGTTCTCCACGAATATGGAATACCCTGAGTTCAAACTGAGACTGCAGAACAACAAAAAGCCCCTTAGTGAAGATATTTTTTAAGTGTTTCTTTTGCAGTAATTAAAAATTGTCACATTCAGACTATGTTCTTACTTTAAACATAACAACAGAAATACCTCACTTTCATAGTTCTAAATAGTTTGTTCCAAGCTATTACAAAATTGGATAAATACTAATCTTCAAAGAAGTGAAAGTAGCGTGTATTTCAGCAAACACATTTTATGAGTAAGTATCCAGGACTTTAATTCAGCAAATTCCAACTTGCACCTATTCTTTAAGCAGACTTAGTGACTTTAAATTGTTGAATGCAATAATTAATAGTTTGTTATGGAGAAAAGGTATATTTTTCAAATGGTGTTGTACTTATTAACATTATTCTATTGACTATTTAATTGTATAAATATGCCACATACATAGTTAACATGTTAGGAAGTAAAAAGATATATTAAACACAACAAAAGCTGAAACTCCTCCCAGAGAAAACATTAAATACATAAATTAAAACACTTTATCAATAAATTGAAAGCATTATCATAAATTATATTCAGAGGTAAAAATAAATCCTCCTTTATAGTTATATTTACTATTGGATCAAAGCTGAATTTCTACCAGATATATCTACAATTCAGGAAAATAAATCTTAGAATCAATAACAACAATCTTTCAAGAGTATAAGTAAAGAAAAAAACTCAAAACATTTTCTAACCATATATCATAAAAATTCAAAACATTTGACACAGAAATATCTCCTTTAAATAATCCCATGCAATACTGCTATTCCAGATGATTAAATCCCTACAAGCTATTTTCTCTGTTTTGATACTTTCAGGCAGCTGACTGGTGTTACCTTGTCTCTTTGCAAGGCAACGACTCCTGAAAGAGCATATTCCTTGGTTCTTTCAGGATCTCTGCACAAAGGGAAGCCAACATTTCAACAGAAGCAGCTAATGATCTGTGATTTTCCCAAGCACCACAATTTGCACTTTAAATATTACCACACAGTGCTGGTCAGAAGAGGCAACATAACACTCCCTGCTTATCTTTCTAACGTGTATTAGGTCAGAGTTAATAGTGTACAGGATCAACTAATATGCATCCAAATAATGCAGGTGTAATGCTCAGCATGGCAAATGTGGTTGTGTAATATATTGTAATTTTATATCAAACAAACTAGCTTGAATAGATATGCAAACAATATACACTATTTCTTACAGCAGTATGATCAGCTCGTGTTCTAATCAATTTGCTAAGAAAGTAAACAATCTGAAAATATTGCATACAGAATTCTCCTTTTCTTGACTGGTAACTGTAAAGTTGGGAAAACAAGTTTAAAGTCTTGCAAAGGTAATCAGACAGAGATTTGTACTGGAAAAACCCAATTTCTATTAGTTTATGGAAGAACTAAGAATTTATGGAAGAACTAAGACTATTCAGAACAAATTCAATGTTTTTCGCTCAGCTTTTTTTTTATTATTTTCTTATTGCTATTCTACAAAGTTTGTTATGACTCAGCTTAATTATTATTAAATCAATAAAAATTACTTTTATACCACATGCTGTCACCATAATCCTGAAATATTAAAAATATAATGTGAACAGATACATTTTATTAAATAGAAATTTGTGTTAGAGTGGCACTTATGTACACCGTTTCCAGTTAAAATACTGTTTTCATCTAAATAGGAACCAGAGGTCTTTAACTATAGTATACATACGTCTATCAAAGCTTTTATTTCCAGGTGTCTGTCAACACTCCTTTAAAATTTTTATGATGGCTACATAACAATACCTGTGGCTGCTGGGAAGAACAAATTTTTAGCTAAATTCAAATCTAGAGGGATTTGAACAGATACGGTTCAGATTATTCAGCTGGAGAGATACAGTTCAAATTACTCAGCATCTTGTTACTGAATTATGTCAGAAATAACTATGATCATACTGACAATATAGCAAATCTGTTTTCATGGCATGTCATGCACTAGACTCCTGCAGTCTTTCGAAATAGCTGTTAGGATGAAGAATGACCAAAGGCTATCATCAGGATATAATAGTTTGGTTACAGCTATTTCAAATAGACTGAAATGGAAAAAAAAAATGTCAGCAGTTTTTCAGCAGGAAACAAGACGTTTGAGAGAGGGAAGGTGTGGGAAGAAGGCCAAATGGACAACAGATATGGGAAAAACGTTGAAAATAAAGCATAGAAAGCCCCTCTATGTGACGTTAACAAACATGAATTATTCCTGAAGAAAGGTAGAGGATTTGGAAGCCTATCAGTGTAAAATATCCCTATAAATTTCTGTATAATTTTTTTCATTTTGAAAATGCATTTGACACTCCTCTGACTTGTTTAGAAGCTTGGTTGTTTGCATCTTAACAACACTCACCTAAGAAATGGGGATTGTACATGTACAATAAGCAACACCCACACGCAGCAAACACATTTTTCTACTCCCCTGACCACCTCACATAGTTGCAGCATTAATCCACTCTTTCAGAGAGTAGATCAAATTAAGCCCTCAGGCCCTGGTATGTAGAAGATGTCTGGCTTCTCATTGTGTCAATGACTCTTGCCAGCCTGTCACTGACATCATCTAGTTTTTGTTACATAATCCTGCCTCTCCTGTACACACACACACACATAAAATTGATACTTACAGCTGCCTAAACTTCCGTAACAGTTAAAAATTCCTCCTTAAAACTGGTAGGTTTCAACAAAACCTGATTACTATTTCCTCTTCATATTGCCCTTTCAAAAGAAAATGAGCATACAAAAAAATGTACTGTAAAAGCCTTCATGTGCTGAAATCAGAATTCAATAATAAATTTTAGTATCTTAAGCTTAATCCACACAGCAATATGCTACTGAAAAAAACTGCCCGACTTTGGTCCTGAATTCAATGTCCATACTAAACATGCAAACAATGCTATGCTAGTATGCTGAAGAACACTGTTAGAATTCAGAAAGCATAATAATTTAATCAGACAAGGAAGCAGTCTGAAAACACACGCTGTGAATCCAGAGAACTGCAGTGTACACACCCAGTGAAAAGACTGATCAGTAGTATGGCAGTTCAAGGGGAAAAGGATTGGCAAGAGAGACAGCTTGTCACAAACTGATAATGAGTTAGTAACTCTGTATTAGAATATACAAATGGAAATGCAAAAAAGTAATCTTTGTGCTCTATTCAGCTACTAAAAGCTGTGTTTCTATTAACTTTCAGAAAAATGCTGTCTCTGCATTCACGATCACTGCTACTGAAATCTGGAGCAGCTCATTCAATATTAACTTTCTAGGTTCAATTTATATTGCCTTTGGTCCCCACCTCACCCTTACTGGATAACACCCCCCTACTTCCTTAGTTTCCTTCTGTTTCTATTGCTGAAGAATACTTTCACTGCACCTTTAAATTGGCTTTGCAAGATATAATTTACCTTGAGTGTTGGAAACTGGTGATGTACCTCTTTTTTCATTCTTTCATAGGCTCTCTGCTTCAATTTTGATGAGGTTGAATAAATAGGCATTTTGGTCTATCCCTCTCCTTGATAAGCCTTATTTTGCTTCCACATCTGCCATTGCTTCCAATAGATTTCAGAGTTTTTGCACCTCTGATTCTGACTAAATAAAGGTCCACACCTATTTGCTACTCCAACCTCACCAGTACAGCTGTACTCAGAAATTAGTTTATCTGATTTCTCGCAGTTTGTCTGGAATAGTAAAATTACCTTAACTGAGCAAATGATGCCAGCTGACTCTCAGTTCCCTTAATCACAGACATACACATATAAGCTGAGAATACTTGTACTATCCTCTCCCTAAAAATATACTACTGTTAATGGGTAAAAGCCACCCCTACAAAAAAACCCCAAAACTACTCCTCTTACTTAAATACATGACATTGCCAGGATACAAAGATGATTATGCAAATATCTAAAATACTGGCACACTGTAACCTGCAAGATAAAGAGTTTTGGAATGGCTTTCCGATGTCTTGTCTTTTCCTCTTACACCCATCCCTCTGCAACAAGACTTCAGTGACTTCCTTTTCATACCTGCAAACTGACTTGACACAACACACAGAAAAAAGGCAAGATATATTTTCTGAAATAATGCTGGCAGCTCAGCCTTGGTCCCGTGAGACTCAGGAACATGTACAGCGTATGATCAAAGAAAAAGCCCCAAAACTGCATCAGTGTACTGTACTTCCATTAACCATTGCAGTCACAGATTATAAAGCATGTAACGAATCACAAAAGAAAAAGACTAAATCCTATCACTGAGAATGTAACTTACAGGCCATCTGAATGTCTTTGAAATGATAGTATGGCTTGCCACAGAAAATCTCATTAATGTGACAGCTCTTCTGTGTGCTCTGATCAGGCATCAGAAAGATTACAATCAAAGTAGTCAATGATAATCTATATAGTATATTAAATGCAATAAACTCAAGTATGTTTGTTGTCTTACTGCTTTGCATAATGTGATTTTATATGGGCGAAGATTTTCTAGCCACAACATGGGATTGGTGTATACGAAAAGTTTTAGAAAAATTTTTATGTGTGAATATGAGGAAACCATAAATCCCTATAGCAATCTACATTCAAAATCAGTTGCTGGCTTGTTATTAGTCAAGACTATTTGCACCATAATTGTTTAAAAAAATCCTGAGAAGTGGTACAGTAAGATATTAAAAAAAAAAAAAAAAAAAGTTTTCTAGAACAGTGTTTAGAGCAAGCAATATGCAGAACTTTTGGGTTTGAAACTTGCAGCTTAATGCTTCACTCTTAATGCATAATAGCTTTTCACTAGAGTTTACAGTGCAATTCTACTCTGAAAAGTGACTGTGTAAAAATGGCACGTCTTTAATGAACAAAGCTGTTTCATGTATATCACAGACAGACCTCTTCTTTAACTGAGAAGCACACATTTTTACTAGCTTTTACTCTAATTAGCCTGGAAAAACAACACAGTAGAGAGAAAGTGAGTTTGATTTTATTCTCTT